ACACTGTGGAGCTCGGTTGTGAACGTGTGAGAAATGTGAAAAGCTGTTATTCTGCAGCGGCGCCTCCCCGTGATGCCTGAAGAAAACACGAACGGATTCGATAGATAGACAATACTTTATTAATCCCGTAGGGAAATTGATGAATTGATGATTATATCGACAAACCCGTCTCTGGCTGCTCAAGGCAGGGTGAAACCTGCGGGAAGCAGGGCTATCCAGGCAGGAATGAAAGGAAAACGGCGTTCGTGCTCCAGGCACTTGTACTCGTTGGACCTGCTCTTTTTGGACAGGGCACAGTCTTCTCCACACAAAGAGGCCCCGGTTCCTATAGCCACACGGTGCAAGAAGCTGTCGGCTCACGCCACAGCTACAGAAGAGTGGAAGATACGAGCTATAGACCAGGAAGTCATGGTCGATATTTTCTGAAGAGCTGAGCCCAAAACACACGGCAGAACATACAAAAGACACTGAACCCCGCTAGCCCCTTTACAAACGGATACATCCGGTATAAATTAATTTTTTAACTTGAAATGAGAACTTTCAGTGTCCAGGGGGAGTTTAAGCAAGACGGTCCACAGTGGTGGGCTGAGGAATAGAGAAAATCGCATGAAGGATCGGGGTGGCAGGTATTTGAGGTGAACCGTGTGTGGAAACTGACTGTACAGACTTTTCGCTGTGACACCGTGGATATGTTTTACCCCAAGCCGTCCGACACAGTAATAACACTTGCATATGCTTTCAGAAAAACTGAATCCCAGCAATCTGCTAAAGTAAAACCTACATGTACGGAGCCAGGAAAAAAATGTAACGACCGCGGGCATAAGACTCAGGGAATGGGGTTGAACAACACATGTATTAACTAGAACCAGGGAAAGGGGCTACAGCGATGGACCTATACTAACGCACACACACGAAGGGAAGAGACTGTCTACCACCCTCCGCCCTACTATATACAGTCCCATAGTCCCGCCCCCAGGCGCTGTTTTCAGCCCGCCTCCCGTGACGCTACACAAAGAAATCGTAAGGAGTTTTTTTTTTGCTGTTGTTTATGGGTAGTAATAAGAAGTTCAAGAGATTGTTTAGACCTTGCTGAGAAAAGAAAGCACAGGCCTCCGGGCCTTTGGATAAATTGGCTGACGATATGAACAGCCAAAACGTTCTCAATCATTCTTAACACTCTTGGTTTGTGATCTATACGAGATGGTTCAGGCATTAAAAGGGTAGGAGTGTCTACATTTCTTACGTGTCACTGAAACATCCAGAAATACCTGCGGCTACTGAAACAGGGAGGACAACATCACAAATGCTTCTTGACGAATTTGGTTTGTACCCTCCCAAACACGTGTGGACATTTCGTGCCACCTAGCGGTGGGACGGTGCATTACCGGTCTGTCACAGCTGGTCTGGCGTCATGGTATTCGGACTGTCTCTACGTTTTTAGACTGCTTGGTTTTACAGCTCGATATGTGCTGTAAAAACACTTTAGGTATACAGAGCCAAAGCTGTAACAGCAACAGCTGCGACGCGTTTCGGTAAACAGCATCTTAGAATGTCAGAAGATCTGTTTTTCATCATAATCATCAGTACTAGTATTACCATGTGTAGTTTCAGACCAGGGAAAAAGCTGGAGAACAGACTTTGACGTGGCGCTATTTTGGTGCACTTTGTACACGGTCTCTGACACTGGTTTTACAGTTGTCGTCATGAAAAAACATCACAGCAGGAAATAGAGCAGAAGGCTGCGCGTTTTGTAACTATAACAATACTGTAGCTGAAACAGAACATTTCTCATTATGTGAGGTTATCTACACCATCTTATGATTCATCGAGCATTCAGTGTGCACGAAATTTCAGTAGAGTGTCCGGTAAGAAACAGTGTCAGTCTTCATCGGTTGTTACTGACCTCTTCAACATACACCACTCTCTGAACAGTTTTCAGATTTTGTCAGTATTTCGAAGCGTCTTTCTTAGTGTTAAACTACAGCCACCCCTTCCGATTTCTTATCTGTTTAAAGACTTCAGCGTAATTTTAATGAATAACTAATTGTATGTGTATAGTCCTTTCACCCCAAAGCGCTTGACAATACAATAGAAAAGAGAAGTTTACATGTCAAGTTACGTGTCAGAAACCACAGTTTTGTATGTGTAGTATGTATACCTGCTGCTAGTACGTTTTCAATTTGTTAACGATCCATAATGTTGCTATATCGTAGATCTTATACGATATAGCTTTATGTATCGAAACTGTCCGTGAACTCAATCTTACAGCCACCGAAGAATGGCTCGTCTCTCAAAGGAACATGATTACCAGGACTGGATGTCTCAGCTCCCTGAGATTCTTTGGGACAGACCTTTGTGGTGCCTCGCAATCCCAGGTAAATACTCGCCCGGTTCATTCAACCTCTTTTACATTTTGTGTTTAAAATATAATAATTGGCAGACGTTTAACAAGACGAGGTACTGATTCAAATTAGCGCCATTGGTTTTTAGCATTTTTTATTTATACTGTAATTAAAGACGTTATGCTTCTAAATAACCTTTATCAATTCACATATAAAAGAAGAAGATATTTAAACGAATGCTTTAACGATGAATACTGTTTAAGGAAAAGTTGCTGTCTTCAGTATAAATTGTACATAAGGTAAAAAAAAATTTTTGGGATGAACCTGAAGAATATACCAGTAAACAGAAGAACATTGTTATCAATGTTAGCAAAATGCATGATAAAAGTTTTGTGTTTCAGGAAGTCATGACTCTATGAGTTACTGTTTGGACATAAACTCACCTTTAGTCTCATCTGAGTCGAATGCATTGAGGATTGTGGACCGTGTCTTGCCCTGTGTCACACGGCCAGTTATTTATAAATGGGCAAAAACACAGGTTTGTGTTGTTTAAACATCACTAACATGGGTGGGCTCCCTTCATAGAAAGGATATGATTGCTACAGTACATCTTTCAGATGGCAATGTCTCCAATGCTAGTTTCAAAACTGTAAGTGCTACACATAGAGTTACTTTTAGAAAGTTTTGTAACATGTAGCTTCACTGTGAAACAAGAAATTCAAGGAAACATTTGTTTCCAGAAGAGAACACGAATAATTTCATCACCACTTTATTAAAGTGAAAATGACTCCATGTAAAATCAGTGTATTCAATTGCTCCTCTGTTCTTCCCTAGGAGGAAAACATTCTGGAACAGCTGAATGCTGGGATTCGATATTTCGATCTTAGAATTGCTCACAAACCTCAAGATCCTTCAGATGATCTTTATTACACACACGTGATTTACACCACTATGACAGTGCGGGTGAGTAACAGGCAGGCATGTGCCATCTAAACCTCATGCAGTTTTTAAACAGGGATGTGTTGCAGAAAATAACTGTAGCTTGACTAGAAGTAGGAGCATGAACAATGCCTGTGCCTGGAGTAGATCACTGTGACACTCACACCTCCTGGGCTGGAATGTTGTAAATAGGAGCATCGGGGTAAGATGCTGGTCAGTCAATTAAAGAGGAGCTGCAGTCCAAATTTCTCGGACCGGTTACTAAATCTCAGTCACAAACTTAATTGATGGTATTGCAAAATTTTACAAATATCTGAATTTAGTGTAAAATCGTGAGTTTTTTTAAAGTAGCATATGGTTGCCTTGTTGTCGCAGGCAGACAAGAAACTGCTGGGCTCGCCACGGAAGAGAGTGTGAATTGTGACGTGAAAGTGGCCCTTCCTGTTCACTAGTCACTGTCAGCACAGGCTGTCTTTACAATATTAATTATTATGAGTGTATTTTAGTTGGCTGGCGGGTTACTCTTTTTTTTGCAATTTTTTATTTTTAGATAAAAGTATCTAAAAATCATACCGCTTTGTCGGTTTCATGAAAATATTTACTATTCATATAGTAGCAACATTGGCTTGATCTAAAGCATGTTTACCATGTAATAGGGCCGCTTTCATGTCATCATAAGTTTTGTTGCGTCGATCTGAATCGCAGACAATAACGGCAATATGGCACTATGCGTAAATTGAAACTTTGTCTCTTTTGCGATGTAAATTTGAGGTCGTACACATTACCATGTACTTTGTAGTTTCATTGTGGTTTGAAATGCATTCATCATTTCCAAATCAACATTACCCCAAAATGTAAAAATAGCATTGCAGTTTAACTTTAACTCCTTACCTCTGGTACCATTTGCATGACAGAGGATCTGCCCTCTGGTCTCTAAACAGCAGGTAAAATACTGACACTGTAAGCCCTTGCTTCATGATTTATCAACTAGCACCTGACCAATAATCTTCTCAGGACTGGTCAGGTGACTAATAGCAGCAGGTGATTCCCCACAGCATTCTGGGGAATGTGGTTCAGACAAGGACATCCATCATGTTTGAACCTACTGCCCTCTAACAATCACATATCATTTTTACATGGAATTTCACAAGCTGAAATCCAGAATTCTGTACTGTGTCTTCTAGCATCTGAAGTACTGGAAATATTTTTTTTGGTCAGTTTCAGACATTTTTCATAAACCTGTTTTTCTTAATTTAGCACTTCTAAGCAGCCAGGTATATTTTTAGGGTACTGACAATCAAGACAGCAAATATATGTTTATAGAGTTTAAAAGAAATCTGGGTACTTGCTACATTTTAATTAGCAAATGGAATACATAAAATGTAACTCCTTATCCTAACTTTGCAGCTAATTGTTTTTTTCTTGGTAAATTTTCTTGGCAAAATTTTATACCATTTTAAAAATACTGTTCCATTGCAGGAGACTTTACAGGACATTGCTCAGTGGCTCAAATTTCATCCCAAGGAAATTGTCTTTTTGGCATGTAGCCATTTTGAAGGGCTGAATGAAGACTGTCATGAGAGACTTGTTCTTTCTTTGAAGCATATTTTTGGCTCCAAATTATGTCCATTCATGGTAAGTCATTCAATAGCAAGCATAACCTTTAGTTAAATGAGGCAGTTCTATTTCATTTTGGTCTCTGACGTAAGTTCAAAGTATAATTCTACAAGGTGGAAGAAAGCATTAAATGATCTTTACATTAGAGAATGTAAGGGAACCATTAATATTCTGCTTGGAGTGTAGAACAAATGTTTTCCAAGAGCAAGTTAATTAAATGCTAGAAAGCAGTAGTTCAGATGGTTCAATAAATCAAGAAAAATAGAAGGAGAAAGAAGGCACTTTCTAAAATAATTTAAAACAAATCCTGTTACAAAATTAGCCATATGAGAACACAAGGTGTAGCATTCCCACTTCAGTCAATTAAACAGATTGATAGTGTTGAACCATTATCAAGGAGCAAAAGGTTTGGGACAAGTGCCCCTTGTTGGTCACATGTTTGTTCTTGGGTAATTTAGTCACTCAGAAAAAATCTTAGCAGCCTGCAAAACCACCTCCTAACCTCTTCGTATTCTATCCTGACTTGAAACCTTGACCTGATTAACCGGATCACCTGGAATCTTGAAGGCTAGGGATTTGGAGTTTCACAAAGAGTCATCAGTGCAGTCTGGGAGAAGCAGGTGCATAATCAGAACCTCACAAGTTCAAGGGACTGTTGGTGTTGACCTATACAGGACACCTCACTAACGACTGACTCCTGGGTTGCTGTGAAACGCACTAATATCCCAAACAAGGCCGTGTCCTCTAACTTCAGTCGAATGCTGCAACAAACACAAATGCATCCAAAGAGCGAGTCACCCCTTGTATAGAGGTAATTTCACAGCTAAGCTTGCTTGCCCTCAGGAAACGCCAACACTGAGGAGGTTGTGGGAGTCGGGCTACCAGGTGATTGTTTCATATGAAGACCAAACAGCTGAGAAGCATCACGATCTGTGGCCTGCAATCCCCTACTGGTGGGCCAACCAAGCCAGCGCAGAGGGTGTGGTTGAGTACCTGGACAAACGGAAACACACAGGAAGCCCAGGTAGGAGTCTCTGCACACGGTGCTGCAGAGTGATTCCAGCTACAGCAGTCTTCATCTTTGCAAGGCAATCACAGACACTTTGTGTTTTGCATCTATTAGGCATCACACAAGACACGAAAGGTGTGTCAGTGGAGGAATTAACCAGAATGAAAGTCTTGGTTATCTCAATCTGGATTTCCTATTAGTATGCTAGCTGACTTTTCAAAATTTCCAACATTATTTTAACTAGGAGAAAAACTTGAAGAGTGCAATAACAGGTGCACTTTAAAGCACTATTGTTTTAAAGCGCTTAAAAGCTGTTGAAGCTTACCCTGGCTTCTTTTAAGAAACAGCTGGCAGAGACCCTTCTATCAATTAACTACTAACTACGAAACAGGCTAGATTTCTTCTTTCTTCTGTTCTTCTGAAAGAGGCCTTTTTCTTTCAGCATCTCTTTGTTTGATTTCAGGGAGGTTTTCTGTGGCTGGGCTGAACCTGACAGCAAGCACGCAGTTCATCGTGCTTCACCCCAGGCAGTCCATACAGACTCTGACGTTGCAGAACTATGGCTGTCTGGCAGCCTGGCTCCGGGAGCAGACCCCTGGCGGAGACACAGGCAGCCTGAACATCATTGCGGGCGATTTCATCGGGCCGTGTCAGTTCTGCTCGATCGTCATCTCCCTGAACATGAAGCTTGTACAGCTCACTTGATCACATGCTGTGACTCTGAAACTTCACGTTGACTTTTTCATGATACCTTTTATGTTGAGTTTTTCCCATCCCACCAAAAGGTAAGCAGCTTCATTACATTCTACAGTTCGTAGTAATGTTACGATTATTTTGTTCAGTAAAAGAAAGGTAAAAATAAGTGTATACGGTCCTATTTTCCAAGGCCGGTCTGTCATTGTTAAAGAGTAACAAAGGAGAATTTGTTTTGGGATTGGATTTCATGGACATTGTTTTAAACCAGAAAGTACACTTTAAAAAAAAGATATATGAAAATAAGCAATATTAAAAATGCTTATTTTATGTTATCTACATAATATGTGTAAAGGGTATGTAGAAATAGATATGTAAAGTCTATTTGGAAAATGACAGTCAGGATATCACTACATGATTCAGCCACAGAAAGACTATTTCATACATGTTGGAAAGCAGAAATGGTATGCAGGAATACCACGTTAAATATCCACATTTTATTTACAGAAAATGCATTAGAATCTATACATTACACTGTACAGCTCCTAATTTGTACATGCATTCAGTTGTGCGATAGTTCTGGTAAGAGCCACTTTTAACGTTAGACATGTCCCTGCATTTAGGGAGCCATACAGTACATGTCATAAGTGTCAACACACACACTGTGGAGCCTCAGGCTTTCACAGCAGAACACATACTGAGCAGAGTGCAGACAAATCATCTTCACAGGTCACGAGCCAAGCACACAGAGCTTTCACCTGAAGGGCTAACTAGCCTGGAACAGCTTCCTGTAACGCCCATATGCAGCACTGCTGATAATGACCTTGACATTGGCTGTCCCTTCTTCTGGCACAACACCAACCTCCTGCACTGTGGCTTCCCTGTAAAGCCAGCTGTGAAGAGAGAAACAGCGCTTCAGGGTCCAGAGACAAACGAGGACCCTGCTACAGTTTCATCTGCTAACCCAGTGATGTTTACCGAACACGGCACTTTCCAAGACAGCCAAATCCAAGTACTTCAGGTGAAGGGAACCTGCCTTGTAATTTATTTCCTTTATAACAGTGAATCACTGTTCACAGACAAGAACAGACTGATCAGCACTCTAAATGGTGTTTTAATCTGATCCTGTGTTCCACTTTCTATTGCACAGTCTGCGGGGCAGTTTGCTAACAATGCAGCTCTGCCTCTCACATTTTTCTCAGGAATATATTCCTTGTTCAGCACCACCTGTGCTGTAAGTGTGGAAAGAAAAAAAAACATGCTAAAGGAAAGGCGCACGTATTCAGCTCCCCATGCAATAAATCACGAGAGTTTCTCCATGGTGATGCAGATTATAGACTGGAGGATCACAGTAAAGCAGGGGATGGATCTTAAAAGAAAATAAAACAAATCAAGAGAGGGGAAAGGGGTGAATTCATTTGGGCAAAGGGTAAAGATGTACTATAATGAAACTATGGGTGGTGCTATTACATTTAAAACAGCTATATCTACTGTAGACTACATTGTTTAGGTCTAGTCACTGCATTGCAAAAAAAAAGAAACTCTTGGGAGTCAAAAACCTTGCAGTCAAATCAATTTAAAGAAATCTTACCTTAGGTTACCCTGGAAACTTAGTGTAGTGTTGTGTGGATATCCCTTACCTTAACTGAGAACTACTGAGATCCACTTTGATGGTCAGAATGTGCTTCCCAGTTGTTTTCAGAACGACATCCTCTACTCTTTTTTTCAGGACCTCTAAACCTTGTCCTTTCAAAGCTGATATGGGCTGGATGTTTGGTTCGGTAGGCTGGTAACTGAAGACAATACAGAATCCAGTGTTATTAGGGTACACGATGTAGTGCTGGGCTAAAGCAGATTTCATTGCTGCTAGGACTGATGTGGTTCATGGGTCTTGTCCTTGCTAAGAAACACTAACTTGTGCTATATGTTCCAAAAGTACAGTTTATCCTTGGTGATAATGCTAAACCTCCTGATCCTTTATTTCTGAGGAGAAGCATACAATTTGCATTGTTACAGAAAATGTATATTTTTCCAGTATTGAGAATAAAAAAACACTTTCCATGTTTTATTTGTCTGCAGTGTATTTCAGGTCAGTGTGCACAGCTATTTTAAAGAGTAATTTATGCAACATGGTCTTCGTTCAGGTCCTGATCAGGCATTTGTTTTTCATCTTGAAGCAAAAAGAAAGCATTCATCTGCTGTACGTATGTATCAACTGGGCAAACATTAACATTGTGGTTTACTTCACACACGAAAATCAGTACGCCTGATCGTAATCCATCATTTTAACCAAAGGGAACGATATCTGCAGGGGTATCCAGTACCAGAATTTCACAGCGGCATTCATGTGGTCTGTCCTTTACCCATCAACGAGATCGATCTTGTTGTGGACTTCAATGATGTTGTCCATCAGACGGCTGGGGACCTGCAGGTTCTTCAGCACGTTCAACACGTTGACCTTCTGGTTCAGGCTCTCTGGGTGGCTGATGTCCCTCACGTGAATGATCAGGTCCTGTTCGGGGTTAAAAGGATTCAGAAAAGGCAAAGTCACCTAGCAAGACCGGCTAATGTACTGTAGCTTCCTGTTCTCACAAGAGTCTGATGACACTGTGAAACAGGATCCTATTAGGAACCATAGAATTGGAGGATACTGCTGTTCTTCTGGCTGCCCTGCAGGAAGACACAATTCTTTGCAGTGTTTGCAGTATTTGATACTGACGTAGGCTTTCTGTTTCACTGTGCTAAAACAGGAAAAAAAGCAAGGTCTAGCAGAAGCCTTAACTGAGTGGGGCCCTGCAGATATTAGCAAGGGATCGAACTGCAGTTTCTTCCAGCTTCACCCAGGTTATTTATGCAGTAATGCTGGGAATCAACCGATGGAAAAAAAACACAGTTCAGGTCAAATCAGAATTACAGTGCACAACATGCAGATAATGATGCTGCTGTTAACAGTAATGGTTAATTTAAAAAAATACAGAAATCTACAGAATAGTAGTCTTAATCAGCTACTGTCACCAAAGACAAAAGATTATGCCAAAGACCAAAGACAGCTTATGCTCTCCACCCATTTAAACAGGAATTTTAGTTTTTGGATCTAAAACAGGACCAACCGCAAATATTAAATTGAAGCACCAGGAAACTCAGGAAATTATCTGTAATGATTTCCTGAGGTGAGGAATGTGAAAAGACAGCACAGTGCCCGTGTGAAGTTAAGGGCACTGCTAATTTCTCCTAGCAGTCAGCCACGTACAGAATGCACCACGTCCTGCAGGGTGGCAGAGAACGAGTCAATAAGCTGGTGAGGCAGCTGGGAGAGGAAGCCGATGGTGTCGACAAAGAGGACAGTCATGTGACTGGGCAGCTGGCCAGCGTGAACGGTGACGTCAAGCGTAGCGAAGAGCTGATCTCGGGGCTGGAGCCCTGCATCGCCAGTCAGGGCTTTAATCAGGGTCGTCTTGCCTGCAGGCGACACATAGAGTACTGCTAGTAATGCTAAGAACGGTGAAAAGTACTGTCTTTGAGATGTGTAGGCTGAAAAAAAGCTTGGAAAAATTCTGGAACAGGCCACGTGACTGCCTACATAGCCCAAATTTGAAGTTAGTCACCCCTCTGCTTAACGCAGTAGGTATATTCCATCATGGCAGTGACAGTCACCCCCCGGCTCACTGCAGTTGGTATATCCCATGACGGCAGTGACAGTCACCCCCCGGATCACCGCAGTTGGTATACCCCATGAAGGCAGTGACAGTCATCACCCAGCTCACCGCAGTTGGTATACCCCATGACGGCAGTTACAGTCACCCCCCTGCTCACTGCAGTTGGTATACCCCATGACGGCAGTGACAGTCACCCCCCTGCTCACCGCAGTTGGTATA